ATGCCCAGCAGATGGGTTGGGGCAAGAGCTTACAGAATCTACCACATCACAATTTGAAGTTTCATTCTCAGACCATCTGTATTTTATTCAAAAAAGAAAAGAAAAGAAAAGAAAAAAGAAAATGCATTTATGGGACGCAGAGCCGTAAACGCTTCCTTGGGAATAAGCACCGATCAATCATCCTGCTCAAGACTATGCTGACAAGGCCTAAAACACACACTGTTAAGTGTACGGGTCCAAAAATAGGATAAGGAAGCTTACACAACTATACAACCTTCAGCAATATTTTGAAGGAACCGTTGATGCCAGATGGGCAAACTGTGTGTTTGTGTCTGTGTGTGTCTGTGTGTGAGAGAGAGGCGGGGGGGGGAGAGATCAGCGATCAGCCTTCTGATCAGCAAGGTAGGAAAGACGATTAAGCAATCTGTGAGACCACTTACAATTAAAAAAAGGTGGTCGGTCAGGAAACTATGATTACAGTTATTCCAGATCTGGGGTCCAGTTCAACACGTAGATGCTACTCAGGGACGTCTACACGGAGTATTTCTAGGCATTGTACCAGCTCTTTACAAATTTACTACAGTTGCAGATCAAAGCAAGAGTCTTTGCTGGCCTTCTAATGAGGTTAATTCTTAATGCCAGGGATTAATAATGACCAATTAATTAGGCTGAAGCTGATGCTCTTCTCCAGGCGCTTGTCAAAGATCTGCTGTATGGCCAACCAGCATCTCTCTCTTAAGTGTGTTTCCAACTGAAGGGCTCCTTGGGATTAAGTTGAGCCCAATCTCCCTCCCTCTGGCCAAGAAAAGGCCAGCATCGCATCACACACCAACCCTGCATGAAGCCACCGAAGGGCTCCAGAGTACCTGCCACATCTGGAAACATCCCATCTCCCAACCCCATAATTAGCAACACATGTGATTATTATATACCATTGCAAGGCCCCAGGGCCAATGTGTTATACCTTTCCCAAGAGACAGCTGTGAGAGGACACTCAAGGCAGAAGTAGATCAATGCAAGAAAAGTGGCCCGACAGATCTGTTTTTTGGGGGAAGGGAAGAAGCAGGGGAAACCAGAATCAGGTTGTCCCAAACGCAGCTGCCAGGCTGATTTCGCAATCCCTAGCTACAATTTGTAGAATTGCACAGACCCAGGTTTCCCCCCCCCCTCTCCTGAAGTTATATTTTACAGGAGTCAAGTGAATTCTTGCACCCCGGTAGGAATGCCAAAAAAGGGAGCCCCAAGATTAGGTGCAAGCAGAACTGGGGGGGGGGGCGCAGAGGAGAATGCCTAGGAGCGGGTCCCCTCTCTCCAAGCCAAACGCGTTGGGTAAGGCTCGCTTTCTCCGCTGCAGTGATGGGCTTTGTAGTCTGGCAAAGATCAGCCAAGCAGGGTGCCAGGAGAAAGGGAAGACTCTCTCCTGTCCTGGCCCAGGCGTCCCACTTCCTTCCCACCCCCAAAATCCTCCGATCGCCCCACGACCCACCTTGACGGAGTCCACGGGATACATGACCGTGTGCTCCAGGATGCCGGCCACCGCCCCGGCCGTCATATGCGTGTAGAGGGAGGCGTTGTTGGGCAGGCTCTCGTAGTCCTCGCAGGGACTCTCGCCGTCCATCAGNTGGGCTGGGTTGGGTTCGACTGGACTGGACTTGGCTGGGCTGGATTGGGTTGGATTAGGTTGAGATGGGTTGGGTTGAATTTCCCCTGTGTTCTAACACATTGGCTGGCCTCATCCCTCCTTTCCTGTTCTCTTCTCTGAAATGGAAATGCAGATTTTGTTTTAAAAAAATGTTCCTGTGGACCATTTCCAAATCATGTGAAATGAGCTCTACACTCAGTGCCAGGTTTTTCCCAGAGCACCACATCAGAGTGTAAATCCCAGGATCATGTTAAGTAAGGGAATAAGATCAGGGGGAGGAGGCCTTTGGCTTTCTGTACATTTCTCAAATACATCTCTGGCTTGGCAGAGCTCATCAAACAAAATCTGTACACCATTTTTGTTCCCTCCTTCAAAGAGAACCCTATTGTCACTCTTGGAGAAATTTTGCAAACCGGACAGGCGAAAACAAAAACCTGTTTTCTATTTTACCTGGTCCTAAACCACGTCTGTATAAATACCAGGAGGTTCCAAACATTGTGCTGCCTTTTCTGATTGTATCAAGATTTATTTATTTATGTCGATGTCTTGCAGCATCGGCCGAATTTGTATTAGGCGAACAGAGAGTTTCCCGGCATCCGTGAGAAGGCCAGATGGTAAGACAAATCTTTGAGCGAGTTTGCCAAACAGGATTTTTTCTGGGATGCAGACTGTATCTTACGTAAAAAGTGGAATCACATAAACTCATTGAGCATTCAAGGAGGAAGGAGGAAAAAAAACGTTAATCAGTGGAAACATGCAAAATTGTACACCCTTGTGTAATACAGAAAAAAATGGAACTAGGACGGTGTTTTGAAAGACTGAAAGATTTCTAGATTCCAGGAGTGTTTGCAGAGGTCAAGATGATGGCCAAAATTGTGCAATCAATGTTACACCCATCTTGAATGAGCCAGCTGTGTGCAGCAGCTGCCAAAAAAGCCAACACAGTTCTAGGCTGCATCAACAGAGGGATAGAATCAAGATCATGTGAAGGGGGATTTTCAAGAGGCTTTCTGGTTTATTTCTCATTGAAGATATTTCGCTTCTCATCCAAGAAGCTTCTTCAACTCTGACTGGACGATCAGGCCCTTCCATTCCACACTATCCAATCAGACCTGGAGAAGTTTCTTGGATGAGAAGTGAAACGTCTTCAAAGAAAAACAAGGAAGTCCAGTTGCCTCTTGAAAAAGCATTTTTGGGACTTTAATTCTAGGTTTGTTCTCTCCTTAATCAGTTTTTCATCCATTTCTTCTTGCCCTGCCTTGGAGAATAGCTTGATTCCCTCTTCTTTGTGGCAGCCCATTAGATATTGGAAGACTGCTATCATGTCTCCCCTAATCCTTCTTTTCACTAGATTAGACGGACCCAGTTCTGTAGAAGGTCATCTGCTGAAGACCAGGCCAGAAGATAAAAGGAGCTACTGATCAAAAACTTGAGGGACTATGCACTCCTCCTTCTCCTTCCCATTTAAACTCTTCTAAATGTTGTTGTTGTTAGTTGCAAAGTCATGTCTGACCCATCACGACCCCATGGACAACATTCCTCCAGGCCTTCCTGTCCTCTACCATCCTCTGGAGTCCATTGAAGCTCACACCAACTGCTTCGGTGACTCCATCCAGCCACCTCCTTCTCTGCCNACTCCCAGAATTCCCCAGCCAGCGAATGCTGGCTGGGGAATTCTGGGAGTTGAAATCCAGACATCTTCAAGTTGCCAAGGTTGAGAAACACTGGCCTAGAACTAAGGAGAAATTTCCTGACACCGAGGACAATCAACCAGTGGGAGAACTTGCCTTCAGAAGTTGTGGGTGCTCCATCATTGGGGTGGGGGGTTAAGAAGGGACTGGACAGCCACTTATATGGAATAGTCTGGGGTCTCATGCTCAAAGTCCTTTCCAACTCTATTCTGATTGATCTGCAGTGGAATTGTGCACCCGACCTTCAACGATCTGTGGATGAATTTAGAAAACTATAAAGGAGCTAACCAGCCAGGTCTGTAACGGAGTAACTCACTCATTAAATTACTTCTTTGGGGGAAGTACTTCCCCAACAGAAGTTAACGAAAAGAAGCCTTACTCAATTCCTCAGCTGCAGCCCACTGACTCTTGATAGATTTATTGAATCTACACAGACACGGATCTCAGCTCCCGATCGGTTTCAAATGCAATCCCGTACCACAGACAACTCTTAAGCCTCCGAAGGAAAGGAAGGCAAGAATTTGAAGATATTCACGGGGGGTCGAGTCTAAATCCATCACTGCTACCGTATCACTTCTGAAATCTTGCTGATCTCAGCCATTTGGAGTCATCTGTCAGCCGCATTATGAGCGTTTTGTTTTCTCTTCTGCTTTCTAATCTTGATTTCAGTTTTTTTAACTCTGGTTTTCATCCACTCAGCAGTTCCAAACCGTCCCCTCATTATTCACGGAGGGAGGCGGGGCAATTTTCCTTCCATATTAATGGACATTTTCCGGAAGCAAAGTTAGAAACAAGCACCTAAGCGGGGGGGGGGGGAAATAAAATTCATCAACCTTGGATTTGCCAGCCAAGGTCACCTGAAACATCTTGTTTAAGTAACTTATCATGAAAAACATCTTGGCCCTGGATTCTATTCTGTTTAACGTTAGCGTGTTGTTAACCTGATCAAGTGTTCTCTTGCTTAAAAGGAAATAGTTTGGTTCACCCAGAACAGTAAATCACAAATTATGATTTACAAATGACAGTGGCTAAGTTTAAGCTTAGAACAAACCAGTTTTGGGTTTGTGTGAACCTGACCACCTAGAATGTGCATTTATGCAGGACTCCGAAACATTTGACCGATAGCTGTTCTCAGGTACGTTTATGTCCTAGGCCCTGGTGATTCAATTAATTTATTCCAATTATCTTGCTATTGTTTGATAATATGTTTTCTACTTCCATCAAAACAGGAAGTTCTTCTCTGGTCAATCTGCATTGTACTGTTATGAAGGGGAAAGTCCCAATAATAACAGAACAGAAAAACAGAACACTCTCTGTATAAACAGGAGACCCTTTATGATTCTTGACAAATAGCTGCCCAATCTGTTTTTAAAAGCCTCTAGTGTTGGAGCACCCACAATATCTAAAGGCAAACCATTCCACTGGTTTAGCTGAGTTGAGTTGAGTTGGATTGGGTTGCGTTGGGTTGGGTTGTAGTTGCGGTTGGATTGGGTTGAATTAGGTTGAGATGGGTTGGGTTGAGTTGGATTGATTTGAGTTGGGTTGAATTAGGTTGAGATGGGTTGGGTTGAGTTGGATTGATTTGAGTTGGGTTGAATTAGGTTGAGATGGGTTGGGTTGAGTTGGATTGATTTGAGTTGGGTTGAATTGGGTTGGGATGGGTTGGGTTGAGTTGGATTGATTTGAGTNCAAACATGCCCTGCTACATTTTAATTATCTGGAAATATTTTCAACCCAGCTATTATTCTCCAGAACATCTCTAGATCATTGTAGGGCCCAAGCACATGATGAGCTAAGAATAGCCACCGAAAAGTATTTAGTCAGATATACCAACTCTGAAATTTGGGGGTTCAGCTGCAGAGACACAAATATATTTTTCAAGCTGCCCAGACTCATTTAGGTGTGAGCCACAGATATATTTGCACATACAATAACATGTAAATGTGTATTTATAGCATGCGATCTGGTCTTATTTCTTATTCAAAGGAATCCATTCAACTGACAGTAGTCTCATGCATGTTTTATTTGCATTCATCACATATAATCCTCATCACACTTAGCAAGAAAATTTTGGCTCCCTATTTATGTGAAAACATTTTAGACTGTAGAAACCCATTCAGTTTACCACACACTTCTTCTAAACCAAGGAACAGTATATATTTTTTCATATTTGACTTTCATACCTTCCTCAATGACCTATGAAGTACAAAAATTAGGTGGCATTCCCTGTGATCAAGCCAGAACTTTACTGCCTTCCTAATTTTTTTGCCATTGTCATCTTTCATAAGTCTTTGGATCATCATAACCCACATGTCAAACTGGATTTCATTGAGGGTCTCATCAGGGATGTGTTTGACCTTTAGAGGAGAGGTTGGCATGACCAGCTCAGCGTCACTTGTGTTGGAGGCACCTGTAGTGGCAAAGTGCTAAGGCAGGACTTCCCACAGACCCTCCCTCTCATTATAATCTTCCTTCCTTCCTTCCTTTTCATTCTTTCTTCCTCCTTCCCCTTCCCTTCTTTTTCTTTGCCTTTCCTCTTTCCCTTTCTCCTTTCCTGTCCCTTCTTGCAATCTCAAATGCAAAAGAGGAAACATTTCTCCTTTTGTTTTGTTTTTTGTTTGTTTTGCTAGCTCTCTGATAGCAAAAATGGAGCCGGAGAGGGGCCGCACGCAGCCCCCCCCCGGGCCCCGTTTTCAGCCATGATGGCCTGCAGACCTGGCCCACAAGTCTTGAGTTTGACACCCCTGTCCTAACCTATCCTATTCCCACTTAGTAAATTATTATTTATTTAGTATATGATGAGAATATGACAGAAACCAACATATACACACAGTCCATATCATTATAAATAAAACCTCTTTGGGGGTATTGCAGTCGACTTATGACTGGTTATCTAATTGATATATCCAGGTGATTGACACTGCTTCATGAAGATCTTCTAGGGGACAAGAGAACGTATCTTGTGGGCAATCATTCACAATGCGTTTAACAATTTGCATATCGGCACCACAACAGCAACAAGGGGAATCACTCCATCTCCACTGATACAGGGCAGAGGCACGCCTTCCAATATCACACCTACCATATTTTTCGGATTATAAGATGCACCTTTTTCCCTCAAAAATAAGGCTGAAAATCTGGGTGCATCTTATACACTGAATACAGCATTTTGGCCTCGTGAAACCTCGCCCCTTCACCAAAATAGCTGTGCATAGCTTTTAGGAGCCTTGCAGAGTGTTCCTGGGAGCTGGAGAGGGAAAAATGAGTGAAAAGGGGGCCATT